CAAACCTTCAAACTATCTATAAGCTTTAAATTTGACTACTTCTCACTAATCTTTATGTCCGTAGCTTTGTTTGTGACATGATCAATTATGGAGTTTTCACTATGATACATACACTCAGACCCTAACATTAACCGCTTCTTCAAATATTTGCTCTTATTCCTAATCACTATAATAATCTTAGTAACAGCTAATAATCTATGTCAACTGTTTATTGGATGAGAAGGAGTAGGAATTATATCATTTATATTCATTGGTTGATGGTCAGGACGAACCGATGCCAATACAGCTGCTCTACAAGCAGTTTTCTATAATCGAATTGGAGACATTGGATTCATCCTATCAATAACCTGATTCATAATACACTCCAACTCAGTGCCTGGAATTTTATTTCATTGTTGATAGATGCTGCTGAGTTGCAACCCTATGTACAACAGAATGAAATGTTGCCCAGTCCTGGGCCATCCTCAGTGCTGTTGCTATGTTGAGCCCATTATTACAGCCACAGGGTCAATCCATCTCTTGAAGGGTCTCCTTCTTCTTCACTGACCCTCTACTTTACCAAGTATGATGTCTTTCTCTAACAATTGGTCCCTCCTGGTGACGTTTTCAAAGTATGTGAGACAAAGTCTCACCAATTCACCATCTTTGCTTCTAAGGTGCATTCTGTCTGTACTTCTTCCAAGACAGATACGTTCATTCTTCTGGTGGTCTATGGTACATTTAATATTCTTCACCAACACCACAATTTAAATGTGTCAATTTTTTGGTCTTCCTTTTGCATTGTCCAGCTTTCGCAAGCGTATGAGGTAAATGAAAAGACCATGGCTTGGGTCAGGCACACCTTAGTCTTCAAAGTGACATCTTTGATTTTTTAACACTTTTAAGAGCCCTTTTGCAGCAGATCTATCCAATGCAACATGTCATTTGATTTCTTGACTGCTGCTTCCTTGTGGGTTTACTGTGGATCCAAGTGAAATGAAATCCTTGACAATTTCACTCTTTTCTCCATTTATCATTATGCTGCTTATTGGTCCAATTGTGAAGATTTCTGTTTTTTTTAAATTGAGGTATAATCTATGCTGTAGGTTGTAGTCTTTGATCTTTACCTGTAAGTTCTTCATTTCTTCTTCACTTTTAGCAAGCAAAGTTGTGTCATCTGCATATCTCAGATCAAGTCTTCCTCCAATCCAGATGCCACATTCTTCTTTATATATTCCAGCTCCTTAGAATATATGCTCAGCATACAGATTGACCTCAAGGCAAGTTTTTAACTGCCTAATGTCACAAGAGGAGCCTAGGTGGTGCAATGATTAAGCAATCAGCTGCCAATAACCAAGAGGTCAGTAGTTCAAATCCACCAGCTGCTTTGCAGGAGGAAGATTTGGTAGTCTGCTTCTGTAAAGACCACAGCTTTGAAATCCCTTTGGGTCAGTTCTACTCTGTGAAACAGGATTGCTATGAGTCAGAACTGACTTGACAGCAATGGGTTTGGGTTTGGTTTTTTAATGCCATGTTGTTGTTATGTGCCGTTGAGTTGCCTCGGACTCCCAGCGACTTAATGCCATGAGATTAATGCCATGAGAAGAGTGCAATTCTCCTAAAGGAGATTTTT